AACACACACCCTCCAGAGAGGGACAGGGGCTGCAGCCAGTGTGGAGGGAGTGACCTGGGGAACCAACCTGAGCAGGACACGTCAAGGGGACTGTCAGGGCAAACTCCTGCTGCGGGTTCAGGCAGCTTTGGACAAACCCCTCCCAATGTGTTCCTGGCAATGGAGAGGCAGGGAAAGAGAGAAACAATGTGCAGTAGTGTGGCTTTCTTCAGTTTACCTGGTTTAGGATTATTTTGGTATCAAGGGTTGCAGAAGCCTGGCCATCTATTTTAAAGAGCTGCTACTTTGGAGATGGTGACAGCACCTTCTTTCTGCTGGGCTTTTCCCCAAGCAGCTTACAGTGTTTGGGGTATTTAGGTTCTGATCCTGCTAAGGCTTAGGCAGGTCACTGAGCTCTAACACACTGCAATTAATGCTGATCCTGCAGGCATTTACCTAAGCTGCAGCACTCCAGAGAGTTAAGTACCTTTGTTCTGAGCCGGTTTTTGTGTTGGCTTAAGGCACTGACGGGTTAGGCTTAGGACTTATTTTCCTGTTCTCAGCATGAAGGTTTCCAGGCGAAACAAAAGTCCTCTGGTGTTTCCAGGGAGGTGAGTTTGCAGGGACACAGGAGAAAAAGCCTAGGCTGAGTTGTCCAAACACATCAGGATACCAAAGAGATCACAGAGGCAAAGCTTTCCCAAAGGGGTTTGGGAAAAAGAGAACTACTAGGGGTCCAAGGCCACAAACCTTAAAACACTGCTACGCCCCCTTACTGTTGTCCCTGTGCTGCCTTGTATTTTATTTTGAGCAATTAAAAGAACATTGGACTTGAATAAAGGTCAAAGCTAAAAACTGCACATCTCTGCCAGGCCAGAGGTATTCAGTGCAGAAAACTAACCAGAAGTAAACTTGAGCTGGGGTTGAACTACCTGAGGGATACTCAATGTAAGCCAAAGGAAGCACATTCTCCAGCTACAGGACTTCCACACAGAAGGCCCAGTCAGGCTTTAGATGCTCATCAGAGCTCCAAATAGTCTCTGTACTCTTCAGCCATGCTGGTCTTCTGAGCTGGTTTAATGCACAACTGCAGGTGTAGTGGGACAGAGAAGGTGGAAAAATGCACCAGGAATTGCATAAATTTGCACATTTTTCAAAAATATATGTGGAACTTATGCCTCAAGTGCACAGACCTAAGAAGTGCTTCAGGACTCAAGCCAAGCCTGGAGAGCAAGCATTTACAAGCCCAGTGAAGGTTTCCATAGTGGAGAGGCCAGCCCACATTCCCTGAGGTACAGCTACATAAGATCCCAGATTTCAGAAGCTTTGCCAAAGCTCCCACAGCAGTTCTGCAAGACAGAGCAGAGCAAGGGGCCAGAGGGGCCAAAGGCTGTACGTAAACCACATCTAAAGCAAATATTTACACATGAACAATGCTAGCAGGCTGCTGGCTACTACAGGATCTTTCAAGCCTACAAATTCCTTGCCCCAGTGAGCTTTGGATAAGCTTTCCACCAAGAAAAGTATTTAAATAGCTGTCTTGTGGTACATCAGAGCAGCAGATTGAGTTATCGTCCTAATTAGCATTTGTGTGTCAACAGAGCTGTTTTAACCATTTCATATCTCTTAACCTCTGTTCTGCTTTCAGAAAGAGCATTCCCAGCACAGATTAATGATAGCAGCTGGAGCACCACATTGCATTGCTGAAGATAAGGAAACAGAAACTGCTAATCAGTGCTTGGCTTCCCTTGTTGCATAATAAGCCACTATTCCTGAACGGAAAGAGGGGGCTGCACAGAGGCTCCTTACAAACTTAACAACCTCTCTTGGGTGACCTCAATGCAATTTGGTAATTTACACTTTGCTGTATAACAAGCTTGAGAAAAGCAAAGCTTATGCCAGCAGGCTCCATACCTTTCACAGGCCTACTATAGTCCATGGGCACAAAACACAGTTCTAAACAGCTGCTCTTCTGTCCCTGCTGAGAAGAGCCACAAGGCTGGCTTAGAAGCAGTAGCAACTGCTGGAATAGAGATTTAAAACAAACCACTGCATTCCTGCTCTGATGTAGGCTGGAAGCTGTTTCTTAGAGACTTCCTCACTAGTGAGGGCCAGGAGTCAAAGGGTTCTGGAGAGCAGCAAGGCCTCATCCAGATCTTTCTGCACACTCTGCTTCTTGGCCACCTAGTTTCAGTGATGTTCCCAGCCCCATGGCTCTCAGGTCAGCTGTACTTTATGGAAACTTGGATGTTTGGGGCTTTTCACACAGCTCCAGCATCCTTCTATCCAAACCTCTGCTGACCAGAGACAGCAGAATCCAGAGTTGCCAGTGCAGGACTGGTCCTCACAGAAACAGTCACTCCCACCCTGCTCCTGCCAGGGTTTGTACCCCTGAGAGCACAGCATTAGCACAGCCAGCACTACTCCGACCCCATTTCATGGATCATGGGGTCACTGGAGTCCCTTTGGTCCCACTAAAAAGGGCAAGGAGACAGCACCACCTCAGCCCCATTTTACAGCACACAGAATCCTGGAATGGTTTGGGTTGGAAGAGACCTGAAATATTGTATTGTCCAAACCCCTGCCATAGACAGGGGCACTTTCCACTAGACCAGGATGCTCCAAGCTCTGTCCAGCCTAGCCTTGAACACTTCCAGGGATGCAACAGGCAGTTTCTCTAGACAACCTGTGCCAGGGCCTCATCACTCTCACAGGGAAGAATTTGTTCCTAATATCTAATCTAACCCTGCCTTCTGTCAATTTAAACCCTTTCCCCCTTGTCCTGACACTCCATACCCTTTCTAGCTCTTTTGTAGCCCCTTTAGATACTGGAAGGCCACAATTAGGTCACCCCGAAGCCTTCTCTCTTCCAGGTTGAATAACCCCAGCTCTTTCACTCAGCCTTTCCCCATAGAAATGGAGCTCCATTCCCCTAATCATCTTTGTGGCCTCCTCCGGACTTGCTCGAACAGGTCGATGTCCTTCTTGTGCTGGGGCCCCAAAAGTGGATGCAGTGCTGCAGGTGGGGTCTCAGCAGAGGAGATCAGAGGGGCAGCATCCCCTCCCTTTACCTGATGCCTACACTGCCGGCGATGCAGCCCAGGACACTGTTGGTTTCTGCGCTGCGAGCGCACATGGCCTGGGCACGTCCAGCCTCTCACCGACCACATCATCCGTGCCCCGAAGCACAATGTACATCACTACCAGCACCCCAGCCAATCACTCACGGCACAGGGTGTCCCCAGCCCATCGGTCACGGCACAGGGTGTCCCCAGCCCATCGTTAAAGCACAGGCTCCCCCGGCCCCGTTTCTCGGGACTCCCCGGTGCCGACGCGCCCTCCACGGCGGCGCCTCAAGGGCAGGCGAGGGGCGCCGGGCTGGGCCGCAGCCAATCAGAGCGCGAGGGCCCCCCTCCCCAGCCAATCGGAGCGCGGTCCGTCCCCCCGGCAACCCCCATCCCCAGCGCATCGTCAGCCGCGGGCCGCACCACGGGGGGACCCGCTTCCCGCAGCCTCCCCCCACCGCCACCTCGGAGCAGGGCTCAGCTGCGGGAAAACCCCTCCACCGACACCGGCGGGCGGCCCTAGGGGCTGAGCCACCTCTCAGCCCTCACCTGGCGCGGGAGGCGGCGGCGGCGAGGCGCGGAGCGGCGAGGAGCCGGCGGCTGTGCAGGAGCGCCATGGCGGCAGCAGCAGTGGTGGCAGCGGCGGGCGGGCACTTCACACCACGGGCGCCGGCTGAGCGCCCCGCCCCGCGCATGCGCCGCCACGCCCGGCCACCGCCCGCGCTGCCCCCGGGCGGTCGCTTCGGGTCAGTGCAGCCGCGCCGCTCAGTCCGGGGCGGTGCTGGGCGGTACCGGGCGGCGCTGGGCTGTGCTGGGCATTGCTGGGATGTGCAGGACTCGACTGGGATGTGGGCCATGCTAGGCTGCACTGGACCATCCTGTACCATACAATACTGGCTGTACTGGGCTGTCCTACTACTGGGCTGTAGTAGGCTGTACTGGGATATGGAGCCTTAACTAGGACATGGTGGGCCATACTAGGCTGTACTGGACCATCTTGTACCAGGATATACTTGGCCATACTGGGACATACAGAATGGTAATGCACTGTACTAGGCTACACAGCGCTGTGCTTGAGCTGTATAGGACTGCACTACACCATATGGAGCCATACAAGTCTACACAGGGCAGTCTTGGGCCACAGTGAGCTATACAGTGAGCTATATAGAGTAACACACTCTATGGGACTCTACAGGGATACACAGGGCTGTACTTGGTCATATAGAGCTGTACAGGACTGTACTAGGCCATAACTAGGCTGTATTGGATGTACTTGGTTGCCCTGTGCCATTCTGGGGTGTACAGGGCCATGTGGAACTGTACAGGTCTGTACTGGGCTGTGCTTAGCTACACAGGACTGTACAACATCACACAGGTCTGTATGGTGTGGTACTGGTCCACACAGAAATGTATTGACCCACAGAGGGATACACAGGGCTGTGCTGGGCCATATGGGACTGCACTGTACCATACAGGGCTGTTCTGTGCCATACTGAGCTGTGTGGGATTTTACTGGGCCATAATGGGCTGTACAGGGTTGTACTGGGTTGTACATGTCCAGATGGGACTGCCCTGCACCATACTGGGCCATACAGGCCTCAGCTGGGCTGCACTGGATAGTGCAGGAATGGGAAAGGTTGCACGGGGACTCCGCCAGCATTGTCACCCTGGGACTGGGTTCCAAAACTGGGAGTGGGGGAAACAACCCTTGGGATGTCCCAGAGGCTTTGGCAGGGTGTGGGAGAGGTGAATGGGAGGGATAAATGGGAGGTACAGTGTCCCCACCCAGCTTGCCTGCACTCTGCTCCCCAGGGATTTTCCAGTGATCCTCATTCCATAGGGGCTTTCCCAAATCCCACCCAGCAGCCACGTCTTCTGTGAGATCAGAGTGTGATATCCCCCTCCTCCCTGTCACCCAGCAGCCCACCATGGGATAGAGAAATAGGGGCTTCAGTCTAGCAGTACTTGAATTTATTAGTAAACTGTTCTTTGGTAAATGATAAAAACTCAAGAGACCAAAGGAATGAAAACAACACCCCCGCAAAGAAAAAAAAAAATTATATCATTAAACAAACCAGGCAGATGGGAAAAAAAAAAGTTTTCTCCCCCAAATGGGATTTTAGCAACCTACAGCAAACCCAAGAGATGCTGGGGGAGCTCTGCAGTGATGGGGGCTCCCCTTTGTGCTTGTTTTCGGGGAGGAGGAGCGTGGGCTGTGTATATGCGGGTCCTACATGGGGGGCTCATTGCAGAGCACCATCTCCAGTTCCTTGCGGTAGAGCTTGCCCCCGTCGGAGAGGTTCATGATGCTCTTCCTGTAGTTGGTGAGCTGCTGGATGTTCATCTCCTGCAAGGCATGGGGGGCACTGGGGATGGGCATCCCTTTCTCCTGGGGGAGTACCCCCAGGCTGAGATTACACTCCCCCCAGTTCCAGTGCAGCTTCCCATGAGGATTCAGGGTCACCACTCAGACCACTCCTGGTCCCACATGGACATGGAAAGATGCTGCTGGGAGATGGGAAAAGGAACTGGGGGGCTCTGGGGGTGGCACCCAAGCTCTGCCCCCACTTACTTTCTTATTCTTCTCATACAGGTCTTTCAAAAGTGCATCCAGCTCATTCTCATCAATGAAGCCATTTCCATCCTGGATAGCGTGGGAGGGACATCAACAGCAGGAAGGACACAAGCCCTGCAATTCCCCCTTGGACATGGGCATCCCCAGACCCTCTCCCAGCACAGCCAGAGGTAAACCCAGTTCTCCCAACCCAAACCAGAGCAGGGAATTGCCCCAACCAAAACCATATGATTTGGGGTTATTTTTTGCCAGGTTATGTTTATTTGGGGCAGTTTCCCATGAGCTGGCTCCCTACCTTGTCGTAGAAGGCAAAGATGGCATTGAACTCATCTGAGGACAGCTTCATTCCCTGGGAAGTGACAAGGGAATGAGAGAGGTAGGAGGGTATGAGAGAGGGGTTGGAGGTACAATCAATGGGAATGGGTCGTTTTTGTTGTTATTATTAGCAGTAGGAGTGGTATTATGTTACCTGAAACTTCAGAAGAAAGTTTTCTTGCACAGGCAAAAGTCTGAAAAACAAGAATGGCAGGGAAGAGGGGGAAGCAGCCAGAAAAAGGCATTTTCTTAAATCCCAATGATATTTTGCTCAGAAACATGAGTAAATTCAAGAGGAAAACAGTTTTCCCTGGAAGCTGGAGCAGACTCTTCCTAAACATGAGCATTTCAGGTGTCTTTCCCTCCCCAGCTCTTCCTTCTTGCTGCCTGTGACCTTACCGGGACATCTCCGAGAGGCCCAGCTTCCCATCACCATTCATGTCAAACATCCGCAGCTGTGGGGATACAAACAGCACCCTGTCACCCATCACCTCCTCCTCCCCTGCCTGCCACCCAGCTGGGGTGCTGACACCCCTGGTGGGGACACAGTGCCCCAGGTCCCACTCACAATGGTCTGTGTGTACTCCTGCAGCTTGGGCTCGTCGTAGGGCCGGTTTGCCTTCTTCAGCAGGTCCGACAAGAAGCCCTGGGAGGAGAGGGTTTTGCTGGCTGTCCCCATCCCTGGCTGTCCCAGCAGGGATGTCCCACTGGCAGGGATCCAGCCCAGCCCACCCTATGCCCACAGCCCACCTTGAGCTCGTTGGCTTCGATGTAGCCGCTGCGATCCGTGTCGTACCTGCGCCAAGCCTGTGGAGGGACTGCCATGAGCCTCTGCAGGGGCTCGTGTCCCCCACTCGCCCCTGACATGTGTGTGTGTCCCCATAAATCCCTGCTGAGGGTGTCCCCCACCACCCTAAAGGAGATGGGGCCGTCTCACAGCTCCCACTGGCATCATCTGCTCTCCCTTGGGGCAAGATGCTTTTGTTCAGCCCACACCAAGGGTTCAAGCACCTTTATCCTCATGTCAGTATGCAAGAGCAGGCTTTAATATTTAATAATATTTAATTACATCCCCCAATTAAACAATAGCGTCCGCTTACCCTTCCCCCCCCCACCATATCACAAGGTGCTCCTCTTTCAGCCTTCCCCTCCACCCAGGATTCAGTTTCCATGTACAAGCTCCTTCCTCTCCAGGATGCTGCACATTCCTTTCCACTCCCAGCTATGTTTTATTTCCCATCTGCAATTTCTCTTCCACCTGTGTAGATTCACCCCATGCAAGGGCACAGTGAGGTTGTGGGGTGGCCTAGAACAGCGTTGGCTTTGGCACATCCCTTAGGCACTTAAGAGCAAGCATGAGGGGAAGTTTACAAAAAAGCCCCAGATTCTTGCAGCTCACCTTGCTTGGAGGCTGGGATGAGGCACCCAGCTGCCTTGAGAAGTATCCAAGGGGTGCTGAGAACTGGGAAAACTCACCACACTCCTGCTTTTCCCTAAAGCAGTACTGCCTCTCAGTGCTGAGTTATTGCCAAGAGCTTTGGGGAGACCAGGGGAGGTTTGGGCAGTTCAAGCTCCCAGTTGTTTTCCCTTGGTGGAGCTGGATTGAATTCCCTGGGGATCCCCCAGGGCAGCCTGTCCCACTCACCTCCATGAACTCTGAACTGGAGCCCACATGCTGGCGGAAACACAGCAGAAAATTCTCCTCTGTGGGCAGGATCTGGGCCAGCTGTGGGAAACACAGGCATGGTGGAATGGTGGAGGGGAAACATGAGCATGGGGGTGGAGCATGAACAACCTGGGGTTTGTCAGGTCCAGCACCACTCACCTCTGCCATCTCGATTTTGCCATCTGCATTTTTGTCATATTTGTGCATAAACTCCTTCATCTTGTCACCCAAATTGTCCTTCTTTGAGTCCTGCCAGCAAGGATAGAGGGAATGGGAGCATTTCCCCCATTCCCTGTGCTGATCTTCTCCTGCTTTCTTCCCAGAGGAGTCCCAGTCCCACTCATGAGTGCCCAAAGGAGGTGGGGCTCACATGAGTGTGAGTCTTTGGGCACAAGGGAACAGGGGAAGGAGGGAGCAAAACCAGAATATGCTCTTACCACACCCGCCCCCTTTCTTGCACTTTCCAGCTCCTGGAAGAAATTTTCCAGCTCTTTACCTTCAATGTAGCCATTTCCTGTGGGAGGAAAAAAAATGCAGTAGGACTTTCACAGTGTCAGAGCACAGGAGGAGAGGGACAGATGCTCCCAGGGGACAGGGCACTTGTTCCTCTGCACCAGGACATGGCTCCAAGGCAACTGTGGCAGCAAGGAAATGCCAGCCAATGTTGATGCTGGGTGTTACACTACTGGTGATGCCCAAATTTGCCCAGGTGACACACAGTGCTGGACTTGTCACTTGCACTCATTTGTGGGGCACAGGGGACTTTGTTCATCTTGGTATTTGCTGCATTTTCTGTATCTGATGCTTCAATCAGATGCCTTAAATAAAGGCGCCCCATCCTGTGCAAGCATCTCCCAGGCAGGAATGTCTCCTCTCAACCCCCTGTGGAGGCCACAGGGGCAAATGGGGAGCAGAGGCAAGGCACCCAGCACAGCATCCCCCCATCCTGGGTACAGGATCAGCTCCAGGAAGGGCTGACCCCACTGCCAATCTCCAGCATGGCCAGGAACTCAAAAAGATCCCTGTCCTGTGTACCTCACACCTCTCAGTGCCAGTATCTGTGCTGAGATGTGGTTCCCTGGGAACCCGGGGTATCCATAGCCCTGCCCTGCCTGTGGGATGCTCGATGGCTGGATGGCTCAGCCAGGGCTCAGCCACACTTGGCTCCCACAGTGTTGGCCCTTGGTGGCTTTGGGGGGTGGCTGCTGTGCCTGGAAGCAGCAGGGTCACATCACAGCTGGAGACAGCAGTGAAGACACTGGCTCCATGGTGCTGTCAGGCAAGGTGTCACCTCCCTGCCAGAAATCCTCCCTTCCAAGAACATCTGGACACAGCAGAGGGATGTTGCCCTTTCCCCTGAGGTGCCTGGCTGAGGGATAGCCAGGGCTCTTGCTTGTGAATATTTCCCCCAGGACTGCTCTGCATTTCAGCTTCTGGAAGCTTGGACCACATCTCCCTGCTCTGCGCCACCTTTGGCGTTATCACCTGCAGGCTCCCCAGCAGCCTCTGCTCCCCACTGCAACACAGCAGCTGGGAACAGCCCATCCACATCCCAGCTCAAAGCACTGGGGAGATCCCAGGGTACCTTCCTCTTTGGTGACCACATCCCCATGGATGAGCAGCATCCTTCCCAGGAGGGGATGAGGGGCTTGGGTGATATTGGGGTGCTGGTGTGACCCACTGAGGTACTTTGGCTTCCCACTGCTTTTCCCAGGGGCTTTGCTTTTGTGGGTGCAGGAGAACCCTGAGTGGCTTTGAATTCAGTTGGGGAAAAAAGAAAAATCAACAGGAGTTTTGAGCTGGGAAAAAAGAATAAGGCCAAGAAAAGCTGTGGCCAGTAGCTCGGCTTCCTCCAAGCAGCAGCTTGGACAGGTCTGATCCATGTCCGCAGAGCAGCGGGATGTGGAGTGTCATGGAAAATCCCCTCCGGAGAGCCACAGCCAGTCCAGGCAGCTCCACCTCGGAGCCTCGGGGCAGCTGTGGCTGGTAAAGTGAGGACATCAAAGACATCCAAGGGGACATCTCTGGGGCATGACAAGCCTTGAGGGGAGGTGGCTCAAAGCGTGGAAGCCACATTGAAGGGGTTTAAATGCAGGGATGAGCTTGGGTGAAGTAGTCCCATGCAGTGCGGAATGAACCCCAGGTCCCTCCATTGGCACAGGGAAGCAGCCAGGGCTGTTGGAGCTCCTGCCTGGTGCAGCTGAGCATTGTCCTTGTCAAGGCCACCTTCTTTCCCGATGCCTGAGTCCCTCCTTTCCTGGGCACCTGCCGTGCTGCAGCCTTGCCCTGCCTGGGGGCCGTGGGCCAAGCTGGAGCTGTGCCTGCCGCGGTGTTTTGGAGATGACAGAGCACATCCAAGGGCACAGTGGGACACACTGCAGGGAGGCAGCTGGACACCCACACTGGGAGCTGCCCACTCCCACCGGAGTGCCACCTTCCCAGCCCCTTGGTGGCTGCTCCAGTGCCAGCAGTGACAGGGACCTGTGTCTGTGTCCCTGATGCTGTGAGGCTGCAGGGGGGGACCCCAAAATGCAGCCAGGAGCAAGCTAAGCTCCAGTTCCAGCAGTGCAGCTGGGGAGGTTACATGACGCAGTTCCCAGGAGGTTTTTGGTCCCTAAACCTCCCTGCAGGAGCAGGAGACTCAGTGAAGGGCAGGAGCTTTCCCCTGGGCTGCTGTTCCCAGCAGGCTGAGCCTCCTTCACGGCACCGCAGCGCTAGAAGAAACTGTTTTCCCACAAAACAATGCTGGTTTTTGCATTTCCCCCCCTTTTTGGGGCTGACAGTGGTAGAAACGGGATGTCCTGCCCAGATGTGACTCTGTGGGAAGGTGGCATCCCCATAGTGGACACGGTTTTTGCCAGCATCCCCGGGGAGAGGTTTGGGGAGGCTGGGGAGCAGGCAGGCAGAGACCAAGCACTCCAGACGTGGAGGGACCGTTCCTCAGCCTGCTCCAGGCGTGGAACACCCGCTCTGTCACTCCTGGCAAGGGGGTGGCCCTGGGGCCAATCTGGTGGCCACACTGCCCCACTCCTTCCAGGTACCAAGTGTGGGGCACTGCCAAGGCAGGGAGACGGAGGGGACCGAGGGTGGATACTGGGCACACCGGGAAGGGCAAAACGCCCAGAGCAGCCCCCAAAGGTGACACCAGCCCCGAGCGAATCCCAGCTCTCAAGGCACCCGGGGGACGTGTCAAGGAGAACCGGGATATCCCGGGCTCAGCGTCCCATGGGCTGAAGGCTCCCAGTGGGGTCCAGTTCTGGGGCTCCCCGTCCTTTCCCGACGGGGGGGTCCTGGGGGATCGATTGCATCCCCGACCCCGGAGCTTCAACCGACGGGGCTGCGCCGCGGAGACTCTCCATCACCCCGGAGACTCTCCATCCTGGAGTCTCTGCATCCCGGGGGCTCTCCATCACCCCGGGGGCTCACCGTTAGCCCCGGGCTGCGGCGGTGGAGGCTCTATCCTCTCCTCCAGGGTGTCCAGGGACTCTTCACCACCCCCCCTTCAGCCCCGCTCCCCCAGGGATGCTCAGCCCGCTGCCCTCCCCGCCGGTTTTTTGAGGAGCGAAGTGTCCCGCGCGCCCCGGGACTGACCGTCCGCGTCGAAGTGCCGCCAGATGTCGAGGAACTGGGAGGCGGTGAGCTCGGCCAGGTGGAGGTGCGGGGCCTGCTGCGGGCCGGCCATCCCGCTCCCGATCCCGCTCCCGATCCCGCCGCTCCCGATCCCGCCGCCGCCCGCAGCCGCCTTTTATACCCGCCGCCGCCGCGCCGCCCGCCGCCGCCAGAGGGCGCCGCCGCCCCGGGACACCGGCCGGGCACGGGGGGCAGCGGGACACACGGACAGCGGGACACACGGACAGCGGGACACACGGACAGCGGGACACACGGACAGCGGGACAGCAGGACACACGGACAGCGGGACACACGGACAGCGGGACAGAGGAATATCGAGATATCAAGACACCAGAACATCGGGATACAAGAACATTGGAACAACAGGATACCGAGATACCAAGACACCCGGACATCGGCATACCAGGACATTAGGACACCGGAATACCAGGACACTGGGATACCGAGACACCAGGATACTGGGACACTGGGAGCAGCACTGGGCACTGGAGTCAGCAGCCCCTGCCCTGACACTTGTCCCTGCCTTGTCACCTAGCCCTACGCTGTCACCTACCGCTGTCCCATGACATCTGCTTCTGCACTGTGTCACCTATCCCTGCCCTGTGCCACTTACCCCTGTCCCACATCACTCACCCTGCTTAATGTCACCCCTTTCCTGACACCTAACTGCCCTGTCACTCTGCCCTCCTCCTGCCTGTTGCTCCATTCCTTCCTCAAGTCCTTGCATCCCTTCCTGTGCCACCGAGTCCGACCCCAATCACCACGTCCATGCCCTGTGTCACCACATCTGTGTCATTGTCCCTCTGCCTCATAGCAGCTTCGTGGATCATGATTTGCTGGTCTTGGCAGGAGGAGCAGGGCAATGGCAGTCCCTGTGTCACCACCACCATGGGACCATGCAATGGCCACAGCAGGGCTGTCACTTGCACCCATGGCTGGAGTGCACCCACACAAAACATGGACACTGCAGCCATCTTTTGGGGGGAAAAACAAGGAATCCTGAGATCAAGGCTCTGCCATCCCTGCTGGAGCAGGGCTCCTTGTGGGATAGAAGGGATGCTCAGCCCAAAACACATTTCTCACCCTGGCTCCCCTTGCCGCTCACCAGCTTGTTGCAGGATTTTCTTTTCCCAAGTTTTCCCAAACGGCAGGGAAGTTTCCAGGCCCAAACAAAACAGCCACACATGGGGTTTGTCACTGGCTCCAGCGCAGCCTGCCCAGGGGAAGCGTTGCCATGGCTACAGGGGAAAAAAAAAATTCAGATCCAGCAAGAAGGCTGAGCTGATGGAAGTGCTTAATTAAAGATGAGAAGGCATCAGGGAAGTTCAGATGTGCGCAGAGCGGGGACGCAGTCGGCAGCAGGCAGCTGCTCGGAGTTATTCGGGGCACTGCCCATCCTGCCCCGTGCTGCTGCCTCTCATTTTTGGCTTTTGGCTGGAAAACAGGGAGGCTGAGGTGCTCCCTCCAAATGGCAGGAGTCTGGAGGAGCTCAGTACAGTGGAGATGGAGCCACACCTGGCTCTGATGCTGTGGGAAGCTGAGGCAGGGCAGGACACAGAGGGGAAGAGATGCTGTGCCAGCATCCCATGAGGAAAGCCACACTGGGACACTGAGCACTGCGATGGCCTTCTCCTCCTCCCTGCTGCAAAACGCAGCCTTGAGGCACACGTGGGACACTGAAGGGTGTCCTGAGTATTCCATTCGCATTTCCTGTGGTTTGGCACAGAGATTAGTAAAAAAAAAAAAAAAGCCTATTTTTTCCATTATTGCAGCAGAATTTTCCCCAGCAGAGCCCATTGCTTTACATCCTCCAGAGCAGATTTTTCCCAGGGGCTGAGAGGAGACATTCACTGCTTCTGCAGGGCTGGGTTTAGGGATGTGTCCCAGTTGTGCCAGGCAGGGGAGAGAATGGGCACAGGTACCAACACTGGTCCATCATCTGCTCCACAGGGAGCAGAGCTCCAGCCCAGCACAGGGATGGCTCTGGGTCACAACCATTCATGTTGCTCCATGGCACCCACCTCTCTGCTAACAAAGAGCCAAGGTTGCTCCAAGGTGGGACCTGGGAGCAATATTTGGGCTCCAGGTGTACTCCCTCCCTTCTCTGGGGAAATGCTTCCCCAAGATGCCTGTCTGAAGCAGCTGGCAGTGCAAGAGGGGCTCATTGCTGTAGGAAGGGATTTGCTAAGATTGAGAAAGACTTTTAGAGAGGGCTGTGAAGCTTCAGGAAAGGAAAGGAAAGCAAGGGGTGGTTGTGCTGCTGTTTGAAGCCACCTCCCACATGGGTGTCCAGGCACTGGGATGTTCCTTCTGCAGGAGAAAAGGCTGGATGGTTTCCTCCAGCCTTCACCCCTGTCCCACCACCTAGGCTGGATATCAGGAAAAGGTTCTTCACCCAGGGAGAGGGTCACAGTAGTCACAGCACCAACCCTGACAGAGTTTAGGAAGCATTTGGACAACGCTCTCAGGGATGATGGGATCCATCATATCAACACATGATGGGATTCTTAGGATGTCCTGTGCAGTGCCAGGACTTGGACTTGATGTTCCTTGTGGGTCCAGCTCAGGACAGTCTATGATTAATCTGAACATGCCATCAGATTTTGGAAAGAACAGGCCATCATGCTGCTTACAGAGCCAGGACTTAATTCAGCAACGCTCTGAGATCAACCCACTGCCATGACCCACATCACTCCCCCCTGCTCTGCACATTCAGCACAGCAGGGGAGAGTTTAGTTCTTTCCTGCAAATGAAATCCTTGCAGTGAAGACTTAAAGCTTTTGGAAAAAAACCCAAACAACACACCACTGTAGCAGAATCCCCTTAATTCAACTGCAGCTTTTCAATAAAGAGAAACATCTAAGGGAAATTTGATAACTTGAAGGCAAGGCACACACTCGCTGCTGAGCTGAGACAGCCCAGGTTTTTAAAAGCTTTCTGATTTACTTCTAAATAGGAAAGAATGCAAAAGGCAAACCTCATGTGAAAAAAAAAAAAGGAGTGGGAAACCGAGGCTTGCAAAGGAAACAGGATGAATCACCCCATCAGATTTTTTGGGTCACAGGGTTGTTTCTCAGATAATAGCAGAGATCTCTACTTAAACACTCATGATATGGTCCAGCCAAGGGCTGTGGCAGAGGTTTCTCCTTTTGGCCTCACACTTTTATGTGAATCTCACATGAAGGCATCAATATAACACTTCTGTCTACTCCAGGGGACTGGAAACAGCAGGACCCTGTGATCTGGAAAGTTTTCTCTGGACTGATGAGCAAGGAAAAAGAAAAGGCTGGCACAGAGGATGAGACAGATTGGCTCATGAGTCCATGGCTGTGAGTGAGTAAAGGAGGAGCTGTGCCAGCTCTGCCCTGCTCTGACACAGGTGTTCCACGTGTCCCTTTGCCATGGGTACAGCCACATGGGACAGCCCGTGCTGGTGGCATTCCCTAATCAGGCAGCACCTGGGCTCACTGCCAGCCACAGCACTGAGACAGCGAGGACCATCATGTCATTTGGGGCTCTTTTACCCCTTGCCAGGTGTCTTAGCTTTTCATTCTTCTTTCAGCTTATCCCTATGACCACAGTGGCCTGGACTTCAGAAGCAGGGAAGTGGCACAGAGTACAGGAATGAAGAAAGCTGAGGTTGTCATTTCAGCCATGGATGTTGCCAGAAACCACCAAAAGCACTACACAAAAGGCAGAGCATGAAGGGAACTGTGTCCTGCCTCCAGCATAGAGGACTTGCTGCTCTGGCATTACCACAGCCCACTGCACTTCCCAGCTGCTCAGAAGTTAAATTGAGGTACTTTGGTTCTTGGTATTTTTTCCATAAGCTTGTCAGCCTAGTAAGATCAGTAAGAAATACCTGTGCCAAGTGCTGGTCAAATCTTGGTCCTGCTTATCCTGCGCTTGAGTTCTGGTCCCCCAGGGATGTGGTTCTGTGTCTTTTCCCAGGGTTATCCTCCAGCCTGGGGGTTGGATGTAGGGGGAGCAGTTAAGCACCTCCTTTCTTTCTAACCAGTGGCATTGGCACAGCAAACAAAAGCACAATTTTCAGGATCACAGCAGGTTTTATTCCCTCACAGTTCCTTCCCCACATGTCTTTCCCATCTTGTATCACTGTATTTCAGACTTTTGGAATTCATCAGCAGTAAAAGAAATTGTATTAAAAAGCCAGATGAGCTCACTCTGTTTTGTATTTCCCCTCTCACCTGCAAATTAATAAGATCCTTCCCCAAGTGCCCAGGGCATCTTCCTTTTATCATGGACAGGTACAAAAATCAGACTGTATGTACAAAATTTGGGCCATCCAAGCCAACTCTGGCCAGCTGAAAGAAGAGCCCCAAACTATTTAAGGACTCAGATGCAATTTAGATTTTTTTTTTTTAACAGACATAATTTGCTGAAGATTTAGCTGTAGGGTGATTTTCAGATTCAATTTTAAGTTGCATTTCAGCTGTATTCAGACACAAGAGCACGGTATCTGCCTCCGGTGCAGCTGGAGAGAGGAGCAGACCTGGCCTGCTGAAAACAGATGCTGCTGCCAAGCTCCTCATCATCTCAAACCCTGCCTGAGAAGTACCAGCACAACAGCAGGTTTTTTTGGATGCCTCCCTTCACATCCCAGCCCAGCCTGACTCTGATTAATTAATGGAGTTTGCTGAAATCCCAGCCTTAGCTACTCTGGCTGCTGCTAGCTACAGCACACTGCACAGCTGCCTTCCACTCCCACTTGAGAGACTTTGTATTTACCAAGTATTAATTAGATGAATGTGAAGCACCATTTTCTAGGCAGGGGAAATTATCTGCTCTCTCCCTGCCCTGTAACAAGCTCATACTGGGACAAGTCTGAAAAGGGAGCAGGTAGAAGTGGCTCCTTCTTGCTCTGCACATCTGCCACTTTTCATATTTCCCTGCTTGTGCTGCCCCCCTTGACAAGCACTTCACTCCTGCTTGATCTGGAAAGGGAACAGTATTGGGAAAGATGGAGCTGGAGCCTCTCTCCCTTTGCAGATCATCACCAGAACTGGTCCCAGAGACTGTCCTGACAGTCAGACCCACAAAATGGGAAGAGCTGC